AGCGAGAGGCTGTGAGGAGGGTCCAGGCCGCGCGAGAGGAAGAGTTCAGGAAAACCGCTGTGCTGCACGAGGACAAGTAAGACAAAATCAACCGCCACTGCTCAGAATCTGAACATAAGAGACACATGTACTGTATTTATAAGCAGTATCATTTGTATTTTAGATTACCCCAAATTAATAGAAAATGTCTTAAAATATCTTAATTTTATGTGCAGTCATACGTACATGCATGCATGGAAATTAGCTTTTTTGCTATATTCTGGCATATTTATACTGCAATTACAGATGTTAATTAATATGCACTGTCCATATCAAATAAATAAACACAGTTTATAGTTAATAGTTTCTATCTTAAAAGCTAGACAACTTGGTAGAATTGTACAGTAAAATTCATATGTTTTGGTCTGATTTATTGTTAAGGTTTCTGTAATTACTGGATTTATTTACTTGTACCCAAACATCTACAAAGTCCAATGCCCCTTCAGTCAGCATAAAATGTATTAATTTTTTTGCCATTATTGTCATATATTGGCACCATTGTTTCATCAGTCAGGAAAGTTGTTGAAAGGATTTATAAACCATAAGATTAACATAGTGAATAAGTGAACCTAAGTTTAGGTTCAGTCAAATGGACCCAATCCATTTCAAACTGGTAGTTGTTACACCTACTCATTTTTTTTACTGTATCGTTTGTGATCATAGATTGGAGTTGGAGAACTGCCTTGTCACATTGGAACAGCAGAGGGCGCTACAGGACACTGCAGCTCAGGCCCAAAAGGAGGAGTGGGAGGAGAGGATCAGGAGCGCCCAGCAGTCTGAAGAGTCGGCCAGGAGAGAGCTGCAGAACCTCAGGTGCTAACAATCAACACAAATTACAATAAAGTTAAAACAAAAAGAGCTAACTGGGGTTTGTCTCCTTTGCTCTCCCTTTGACCCAAAACATGCACTGTCATCTGGTTGCTAATTGCTCTTGACCAGGTGCTCTGGCTCTTGAAGGATGTGTTAACTATAGACACGACATTTTTACTTTGAAAGACATAAAATGTACAACAAGGAAATAATGGGCTTGTATTTTTCTTCAGATCAAAACTTCACCAGCAGAGTTCACAACTTGATGAACTGGAGAGACAGAAGTCAGAGGTGGCTGAACTAAAGCGAGTATGTACCTAAACCTATACTTTACTAGATTATATTAAAGACAGTAGTATTTTGTATATTGTTGGTAATGAAGTGTACACTCTCTCATTTTTGTAGCAAAACCAGGAGCTGAGTGTGCAGTTGGGGACACTGTCTGTCTCAGAGCGCGACCTGGCGGAGACGAACCAGAGGCTCCGAGAAACTCTGGACAAAGCCCGAGAGGAGCTGAGGGCGGTCCGCACAGAGGCCGAGAGGAGCCAGCACCAGTCTGAGAGGTACTGCCATGTGCTACTGTATAAGAATAAAAACAGTCAATTGTCTTTTACTACTTTTTATTCATGGTTTATTCTTGTTTTAGACCTGGTTTACTGGCACTTGGTGTGAAAGGTTTGAGATGTTAAGAGTGTAGGGCTGTCACAATCAATGTAATCTAAATAAAAATTTGAATAGTCACAGTTGATATTTATTTAGGTTAGTGGATTTTTTCTTTTTTTTAATAGTTCATGTTCATATCTTTGAGTATGTACCAAATATAACTCATTACGTGCATCGATGGGAAAGCACAATTAGGAGTCATCATTTTATCCATGGCTTTAATATGAATTTAGTATTTTGAAATATGGCAAGACGTTGATATTTTGTTTTTCTTTTCTTGTTTTGCATATTGATATGTTGTGTTTCTTGATATCTTATTGATACTTTGTGTTTCTTCTTTTTCTGTAGGACAGTGGAGGAGCAGAGGCTGGAGTGGCTGGAGGAGAAACACAAACTTCAGGAGCGAGAGGCTGAACTGCATCAGAAATACTCTCAGCTCAAAGAGAAGCTCCAAAGGGCAGCCAATGCCCAGAAGAAGGTGCACTCACATTTATGATCACTAAACATGCACATGTTTATGGCAAAAGAAATGGCAATATTAAGTAGCAAGGTTTAATTAGGTTCTCCTGCTACAAAAAAGTACTAGTCCCAAGAATAAACTAGAAAAGCACTCAGAGAGCGCAGACCTCCGCCAAGGACTACAGTCCCCCTCATATTAATTGTGGTTTTCCATAAATATTTGTCTCGTATCTTTCAATTTGGAATATGAAAGGGGATCCGATTGTCCATCCCTGAGTCAAATTTCATGGGGTTTGGTCAATAATTAATCGAGATATTGAGAAACAAAATTTTTGGCCCCATTTACCACAATGTTAACTAAAATTTCAAAGTGATCCAGAATCCAGGATTTCTTCCGGATCACCCCCAAAATGAAATCAGTTCTTCCTTTTCACATTTCCAACAAATCCTGAAAATTTCATCAAAATCGGTCCATAACTTTTTGAGTAATGTTGCTAACAGACAAACAAACAAACAAACGCCGGCAAAAACATAGCTCCTTGGCGGAGGTAATTATCCACTACTAAGAAATCAGTGCAGAAAATGTACATTTAAAAGAAAGTATCTGGAATTTGAAAATGGATTTCTTGTTACTGTCAAAACAGCAATTGCTAACAAAGCATTACTCACATGGATTATGCAAAAATTAACTTTTTTGTTACATTTCTGAGAATTAAAAGGGAAGTGAACATAAATACTGAGTATATACTTTGGATAAAGATAAATATAAAATGGCATTTGTACAAGCACCGTCATTTTTATTCTGCATTGTATTGTTAAAGTCTGTGCCTTATGCCTGCCTATTTAACTGTATGTAAAGCACTTTCTAGCTCCATAAAGTCCTTATTACTCTTATTATTAAACACCACTGTGAACAGTGATTGACTCTAAACTTGGTTTGACTAAAAGTGAATCTTTGTTTTAGAGGAAAACATTGACTGAAAACAGAGAGAGGAAACTTCAGGACAGGATCCAGCTGCTGGAGGCCAAAATCACAGAAGTGGAGCTGGAGGCAGAAGCTGCTAAAAAGTGAGAAAACTGTATTCTAGTGCACCCATATTTATTAACAATTCATTTCTGGTCAAAAACTGTGCTACTGGTTGCTTCCTGTGTAATCATAAACTAAAAAAAACAACATGCTGATAAAGTGCAAAATGATCAACATTATCTTTTCTATTTTTAACTCTTTGTTCATTCAAAATCAATACTTTTGATTGATTTGTGCCATTATTGACTGCAGACATGTTATTAATGTTGCATTTGTATTATTTATTTATTTGAGCATCATTCTCATGATTACAGTAAATACTCTGTGATTTCAGTACATAGCTGAGTTGCTCAAAAGGAGTAGGTAAAAGTTAAATAACTTTAAATGTTGTGAAATTAATAAGTCAAAATGCTGTTACTATTTTTAATAATATATGCCCATTTTCTATCTATTTTTATCTTTCTAGACAAGCGTCAAACTCGGAAGAGCGAGCAAGGCTGAGTCGACAGCTCAAAGAACTGCAGCGGAGGCACAATGAGTTTCGGCAGCTGTTACTCGGGGGTCAAGGGTCATTCAGCATCGGGGCCCCGTTCATGACTTCCTCCCCTCGTCACCAGTACACAGGGCCCAAGTCTGAGGGAGCCATACCTAACATCACCGTGAGTACTGCTGATTCTATGGTTTAAGGACAATTTAACTGTAATTATTAAACATATCCATTCAGTTACCCTGTCAAACTACTGATCATTGGTGGAATGTAATGAAGTAAAAGTACAACTGTACTTAAGTATACATTTTAGGGATTTGTACTTTACTTAAGTAGAGTGTAAAGTGAAAGCAGGTATCTGTACTTATCCAAAAAACTTTCATTTAGTCTATTTTTGTCCATTAACGTCTTCGGTTCTTTTTAAAGACAATACACTAGGAGATGTGTTTACTTTTTTGACCTACACCCCAAAGATAAAATCAGGCTAACCACAGCCACAGGAAATAACAACCGTTGATATACAACACTTCACCACGAACATCAGTAACAGTTATGAAAATAGGTTGCAGCTAGCAGCCGAAACATGTCAACAATGTAAATAACTTCGTCTTTTTAAAGATAGTGGGAGATTTAAAGTATCCGTACTTCCTACTTCACTACATTCTGAGCAGAACTGATACAAGTATTTTTTATGATTGTGTGAGACCTGCTGAAACGGATGTGGGGTTTATTTTAAACATGTTCATAGTTTCAGCAAACAAATATACACAAATAAAAACTGCTAGGAAACAAAAAAAACAATTGATTCAGTTATTTCTGTTGAACAAAATTCAGCACAAATCAGTATCAAAATCACTACATTTGAAGCTTTATTAAATCTCAAAATTTGCTCATAAATACTTTTACATTTTGCTTTTTCAGTACATTTTTAAACGGGTACCTTAATACTTTGATTTAACTAGATTTTTTTCATGTGATACTTTTGTGATACTTATTTTTTTGCTCCATTATCTGTACTTTTAGTTAAGTAACAACACTGAGTACTTCTTCCACCACTGCTATTGAGATAAGGAGAAATATATAAATCTTTAAAAAATGATTAAAGATTTTACAGACCCAGTGTCTTAAGTTTCTGACCTAAACTGATCATTTTTGTACATTTGTGGAGTGTATTTGTTTTTGTTATTTCTGTCAGTGGAGTAATTTTGGCCCCTGTCCTCCATTTAAGGTACTTTTCCTAACCTGGAATAGCGTCTTTTTATCATGGGTTAAAAGCAAATGGTTCTCTCCTCGTTTGAAGGATTTTCTGAGGACTTTTCTCTCTTTGTGCCTTCTGTGTGGTCAGGACTCGCAACTCACAGACCTGTCCGTGCTGCGGCAGAGACTTCAGGATTTGGAAAATGCACAACTTCAACAAATGGAAGAACTTGGAAATGTGGTGAATCAACCGTCTTCTCAGGGCGACACCTAAACCAACTGCTTTTATACAAACTCTTTTATGAACTACAACACCAGCATCTTCCTCAGGGTTTTATTGTACAGTTTTGCACTATATTTATAAAACTTTTGAAATGTTAAATAATTAAAAGTTCATAACATTGTCCAGTTTTGTGAGTTGCATTTAGCCCTTATATGCAGCGTTAAACATTTAGTTCCAGGAGCAGCTTTTCAGTTCATCAAATAGCTTCTTGACGTGGTGCAGTTTCTCTTTCAGCTCAGCGGGGGCGCCATTCTCCTCCAGTTTTTCTTGGATCTGTGGGAAGACAGTTTTATGAATATTAAGCTGTTATTGCTAGAGGAAGTTGAAAAAAAAAACATCCTTATAATAAACATGTAGCAAAATGGACAGTCGGGCTGTTTGGTCTTCACCTGGGCCTGTGAAACACTTTTACACTTTTGTGTCTTGAATGTTGGTTAGCTTCAGATTTATGTGTTCAGCATCTCCCAGTTCTTCACAGAGCTAGTTATACCATGAATTCATGTAAAACATACTGTGTACTGACCTCTGAAAAATATCTCTGGATGAATTTGTAGAGCTCTTTCAGTGCTCCAGCTTCATTAAACTCATTTTCATGTTTCTAAAACACAAACAAATATATTTACTACTGATTATCCCAGTGTACATTTGAAGCAGAGGACACTCACCTTTGACTCTTTCTGTAAAAATGCTGTGAACTCTGAGTTGGGTATCGAAGGCTGATCTTGGACCTGTTTGTAGTACACTTTCACTTCCTGTTTGTATTTGGGGATTTCTTTGGCATAGAGGAGCTTATTGGTTGGTGTGTGCTAAAGAAAAAACAAAATAGTCATTATTGCCCAGACCTTAAAGTTGCTTAGAGCTGAAAAGTTTTAACTCAGATTTCTGTAGTATAATTTGGACACAAACAAATCCAAGTATTTGGTTTCATTAAAGCAGTTAATACATAGTAGCTCAATAGAATCAAAGAATGACTTGCAAACTTTTAAACATGTTATAATGTTGCTACCTCAGAACATACCTGGAGTTGTGTCTCATTCACACTAATGCCCCTTTATTAGGCTGTGTACAGTTCTTAAACTCAAAAGGCTCTGTTCTACCTTGTGATGTCACAAAGTGGCAGTTTTCAAATTAACAGCTACCTTTTACCTTTTTCAGTAAAGACTTGACCCTTCCAGAGCTAAAATTATCCAAATGATTCTAGTGAAAGTGTATGAAGTTTAAAAACCACAGTGGGGCACTTCCTGTATTGCCTCACGATGTCACAATGTGGAACAGTGTTTTCCAGCCTAAATTTGCAAGATTTTCATTTGAGACGTGTGAATGAACCAAAACACAATTCCATGTCTGTTTTTGGAAACAAATACGTAAACAAGTATGATATTATGACATAGATCAGAAAGTAGCGTAATATGGGCCTTTTAAATTTTAAAAGCGCTGACCTTCCCGAGCTGTGTGTCGCTGAGGGAGAATGAGTCCATGAAGGCCTGAGCGATGACTGAGAGGCAGCCGTCCAGATTGGGGCTCTTCTCCAGATCAAACACAAACTGGGGATTCTTCAAGATGTTCACCCAGAAACGCAAAGGTAAACTGAGCACACAAAGACATGAAACATAAGTAAGAATAACGTTAACTTCAAATTAATATTACTTAAAAGATGCATTATGTAACTTTTGTGGTGAGAGTCCAGCACCTGGTTGTGTCTATGGAGATATGCTAGGGAGATTGCTTTTGCTTGAATGCACAACCATACGGCATTAACGTTGCTTATTATTTAATTATAGATGTTTTTTACAATTAAATACCTCAAAAAATTTGCATTCTACTGTAAGCGGGCCCACCTTTCCACAAATCGGACCTGTAAATTGCTTGGTGCTTGTTTCCATGGAGATAGATCATTTTAATAATATACTACAAAAAATTCCAGGTAAAGCACCAGCATCTTTATTTTGTGTAGTATTTGCAGATTGAAATGAGGTAAGTATAACGCCACTAAAATGGGTGTTTCCTTTCTTTTGCACCTGTTGGTCTTCCAGATGTGAAGGATGTCAGGGTCAGTGATCTTCATGTCCTCGGCCTGAGCGTCCAGAAAATCAAAGAAGTGTTTCACAGCCAGTGGAGCTCTGTTGTACTGCAGTCCCCAAATGCACCTGAACAGCTTCTCCACATATGAGTGCACTGCCACCTACAGGCACAGAGGTGTATTACATGATAATTCAAAGTCTCAATTCAAAACCCAGGAGTTCCCAAAGTTGAAGGGTGAGTGAGTAAGTAGTTGGCAACTATAGTTTAAATGATTGGGGTCCGAAAAATTCTGATAACCCCTGATTTAACACATAACATCGACTCAATGAAATGAAAGACTTTTTCTAATAGTCTTTGTTTAAATCAATATGACTGTTTACAGTTAACATAAAGTAATTATGATCTATGCATCTTAATAGTAAATACTCAAAAAGCTTATGTCTTCTTGTAAAAAAATAATACAAGTTCTCCAGTGAGTACACCATACCAACGTGTATAAAATAAAACTAATATGTTACCAAAAATGAAAATGGACTGTTAAAACCATACTTTGGCAGAGTCAGGTTTGTTAGGAGATGCAAGACAGCTCAGGTTTTTAAGTGCAATAACCACAACCAAAATGAAGAAGAAAAAAACAACACAAAACTAAATCTACAGCCTACGGTACATAATAATGTAAAGCCACTAAATGCATTAAAACATTACAATGCTGGCACATGCATATTTTACTTAACTTGCACATATTGTTTTAAAGGCAAAGGTTTGAGCTTTCATCAGTGTTTCCATTTCCCTTTTTCAGTTACAGACCAGTGTTTTGTATTTAGTAAGTTATTATGATTAAAGTCAGTTCCTCTCACTTTTGTAGACAGCAGCTTGGTGAGGTGAACTTCCTTCAACTTCAACTTCTTCTTCTCTGGGTTTTTCAAATCCTCCACTATATCAGGGTCAATCTGACAAAGAACAGACCAAAAGATACCATTATTTTTTGTTGATATTGTTATTATCATATCATCAGATATCATTTTTGTAATACTTCAGTGCAAAAATGTATTATTTTATAATTTTCTTACCAAGTGAAAATATTTGCCTGAAAAATCCTGGTCATCTAGAGAGGAAAGATTTTGGTTAGTTTTCACAATAAAATATGAAAGTTAAATTACTAAAATGACCTTTGTTGATATAAATGAGCCCATACCTTTGACACTTAACTGATTACTTAAAGAAGCGCGAGTTTTCCTTGAAAGCACTTTGATTGTGGCTCCATCTGGGATCTGTAAGAGTGGAGCACACAGCAAGAATTTTATTACAATTTTACGTTTGAATGTTATATAAAACTTGTGTTTTTAAAAGTGGTCAATGAAGTATGTCCAAATCAATCAAATTACACACAAACATGAAACATGAAATTATGACAGTACTTCTCAATACGTTTATTTGAGTTTACTGAGTTTGTCGAGATGCTAAATAAAAGATCTGCTTCTCTAACACCATCACTGGGCATTGGACTGCACTGTGCATGATGGTTTTAACTGTTTCCTCACAGAAGGATGTCCAGGACTGATCCTCAAACTCAATGGGAATCTCTGTGCTGTGGAATTGGATCTCCTTCCCATGTCTGTGTAAATTTTCTCCAGGTACTTAGTTTTTTGACAAATTAGCTTCAATTTACAAAGACATTGCTTATGTTGTCATGCCCTTGAGCAAGACATGAATAAATATATTTGTTATGGCGTAAATTTGTATAATTATAGATTGAAGCCACTGTTTTCATTTCCACAAAAGGCTTAATAAAAAAAATAGACCTACAATCTGTATAATGTATGTGCTGTGTCTCAGGTGAACCTTGGATAGATAAATATTATGGCCTGGTAGAACAGTGTCAGCCCCGAGGAAACTCCCATGATGCACTGCTCTGCTCTGATTGTATTAGATGTCCATTAAGACCACTCCTCTGCATCAGAAAGCAGCACTCAGCGTGCGCCTCATCTCTATTAAAAGTTTATCAGAGAAAAGTATCTGACGCTCAGGGTAATTGGCCAACAACAGGATGCGACAAGAAGCACAGAGTTGAGAAACGTTCTAGTTTCCTTCCTCAGTAGTTTTTACTTCATGATGCGAGAGCAAGAAACAAGTCTTGTGTAATTTATTGACCAATTTAATTCCTTTAATATATAATTGGTGCACAATGGTGGACTTAAAGATTCACTATGTAACTTTTTCCACTTTGAAAAGAAGTTTAAATGTTTTAATTTTGGGCAGATACATGAATTATGATACTTAGTTTGTGCTATACTTTTCTGTACTTTGCTATACTGTTACTGTCTTGTTTGTTTTATCTTGCTTTGTGAAAATGAGCTGGTTTTAAGATGATACTCTGACAGAGGAATAAAGGGTAGGCCTAATAAGCTCAAGCTTCAGCCTACACCTTTTTGGTCTGTGCATGTTAAATATGACTGTGGAATAATGTCAGAATATACCTGTGACCGAAATAAATTAATCAATCAAAAAACTATAATGAACTAGGGGACTAAAAAGACGTACTTTGATTTTTACACCCACCACTAATAATTGTATTTTTTGTACCTTATAGTGCTTCATAGTGTTGAGCATGGTCACGTCTCCGAGTCTCTCTGAGCTCAGATCCACTTCTTCCAAATGAAGAGATGCAGTTCCTCTCACATACTCTGTCAAGACAGAAAATTTTGTATATAAAAAGGCAGGGAAATAGGGAAATACAGAACATACTTCTTTTGACCATAGTCTGTAAGGGGCAGTAGAGTCGACAGCAGCTAGACCATACCTCTTTTGGTTTTCCTGCAAAACCCCTGAAGCCGCTGTCCCTTGTCCCTTTTTTTTAAAATTGATTCCACAAGAACTGTATGAATGTTAAGTTTCCATATATGTTTTTTCTTCTCACAAATAAATCTAGATTTTTTTGGGGTGTAATGATATCCAGGGATATAATACATTGCACCTCCTATTGCCTTTCTAATCCCTCTGTGTGTTAGCTGATTAAACCAAAAATCATATGGTCTTACTGTTATTGCAGTTGTTATGAGTTTAAATTTCCTGAGTCTGTCCCTTCATGTTCCATTCAACAACAAGCACCTTTGTTCCTACGACTTCAGCTTGAGAACTACCAGTAACTCTCCACCCCCTTCAAAGTACCTCACCAAGGGGTTTCTGAATTATGCGTATTGTGCTGAATAATTAAACTTTGATTTATTATCATAGTAAATCTACACTTTTGATTCCTAAATTTGTGCACTAATAACTGAATAATGTTTATGTTTAGCAGGCATCTAAACTGTGCCCCATCAAAGGCTCTTATATTTACTCACTTTTTTGCCACCACTACTATGAGTAGCTCTCTGGTATTTTTGTTTTGTAAGTGTAACTCACCAGAGTAAAAAAAGATAACTGTCCTAGTGTGTGTGTCTTTGTAAAGGGCCATACCAATGCACAGCTCTCTTAGGGGGATGTTGTATGGAAACCCAAACTTGGTCCTAAATGTGGTCAGGATCTTGTCTTTGACCTGGTCCACTGTGTCACAGGTGAGAACAGCCACCTCCAGAGGCTCTGACATCTCCCCATCACTGCCCACTGCAAACAGCACCTTCAGCTTCTGCATAAAACAACATCATACTGTTTATTTTCATCACTGATGAGGAAAAACTGTAAATGGTGCTCTCCAAGATGGTACAGAATTTAGATTATTTAAGTATATAAAACCTTCAAAAGATAAAATCATTGATTCAAATTAGGGTCTGGAGATATGAAAAAGCCACAATATATTTTCATGGTACTAATCATAATTCATTATCACAATTTTAGATTTAATTTTGACTTCATAAAAACAAATACAGGTGTATTTCAATACGCATTTCCATAATATAAACATGACAGACTTTTAACAATTGACATTTAAAACTAAATAAATGTTAATAAATTTCTTCCACCTAAGCCTGAACTCTGCTCCAGACCACATGGTTTTACTGACAGGACTGGCTGTGGAACTTTCAGGAAAAATGCAGGTTTTTATATTGTATCACTGAATGAAATGAGTATATCCAAAAATAAAATGTAAAAATATAATGTACTGGCCGAGTCCCTATATACCAAAAACTGGCCAGAACTCCCCTAGAAATTATAAACTAAGTCTTAGGGACCTTCCTGATGAAAATAATAAAATAAAAATATGTCACACCTCGTCATGGTTAATTGTATCTGTTTTTGACATTATTATTTTTTTCTTCTTTGACAAAACAATTCATTTACCCACACATCGATACGAGAGGTAGTTTGCAGAGAGCTCCATTAGCTGCTTGTGTCATTTTGATGTATCACTGCTGTATTATTGGTGTGTATAATGTAACCATTTTCGATGCTCTGTGGGTTTTCAAAGCGTTCACTTCCACTCCTCTCTGGGTCATCTGTCTCTCTCTGTGCTGTTGTGGCTTAAACCAGCTCTCACTAATGGACTGCAATGGTATGGAAGAACGAGAGATTAGCAAGAGTGGAAGGACTTTCCATTTCAAGAAATGTGTTTTTCTGTTGTTTACAATATATATATAGTATGTATTTAATTCACATTTAATTAAAATGTCAAACTGTCTGTTTCACTTCAGGCTGTAGCACTCTTTAATTTCCCTTTTGTTTGCAGCAAACAACACGGCTCACACTCACTAATACATTTCAGCAAACACATGATTTACATGATAATTAATAATATACATAGTAATCATGTGATATAATCGTGTCACATCAAGCTGCAATTTTGTGAGTATGACTTCTCCTTTATTATAACAGTATTATTTTTATTATTGTTTTATTGCACAAACACTATGACAACTTTCTTAAAATAAAGTTGCTAAAACCATGTGTGAATGCCAAATTTACACTACCACCAATACAAAATATACAAGCAGTATTATACTTTCAATAAATTTGTATATGGCGTGCATTCTAGTTATGTTAAATGTCAATGTGAAACTTCTGTGTTTTGCCACACCCCTGACCGCAAACCAGAAATACATTGTGTTTTTTACTGGTAGACCTCAGTATATCAGTGCAATATGTCAAAATTTCCTGTTCCTAAAACACACTCTTAGATGCTGGATGACTTAAGGTGGTTTGATGCTTTGCAAAACAATGTTCACAATTTTTTTTGTATCACAATACATGTTTTCATGGATACTTGTAGTTTCAAAAGTGTTGTACACTTCCTGTCAGTTCAGAAAGTGGTGAGCAACCCTTCAACACACTTCTCTCCAGTTAATATTGTTGTATTAGGCTACAACAAATACTTTCCAATTAATTTATTTGACACCCAATCATTTTTGACAAAAAGCTTATTACAGCCCCAGGCTTTTAACTTTTACCATATTTTTGTTTTGTGTAACTATTGTTTGTCTGCCTCCTTCACCCAACATGTGAGCCCTTTGTTTGGATTGGTGGACTTCTCTCCTGCCTGTTCCCGGTTGACTGCTGCATTCTGGTCCCTGATTGGTGGGGAACCTCCACATTTGACCAATTCTGTCTCACTTTATTTTATTTTGAGTGCCCGAAAATCATTGGATAATTCCACACATTATGATACATAAAATGTCTTTTATAGTACACTACAAGAGAAAAAGGAACACAGTTTAATTTGCTAACTGGCATGCTTAGTAAAAGTTTGATATAGCTAATCAAAATAAAGTGAGAAGTTGCAAAAGTTTCTGCTTTGTCTTAGCTTTCCAGCTGTTGAAATCTGAACCATAAACTGTCTGCTGCAAACTACACTGTCACCTTTCAACCAGTCATCTCTCAGCAAGGTATTGGTATTCATAGACATAGTCGGTCGGCCAATATATTGGGTCAATATTTGCACTTTTTAGCCTATTGGCTATTGGCCAGTAAATCTCCAGCAGAGGCCAAAATTTGTTTTGACCAAAACATGCTGCCTAAATATACACAAAGAATATGCGTAAAGCTATAGAGGAGGATATTTGTTCTACCATTTTGTAGAAGAAAATGGTTAAGGATGAGTTTCTATTAAATAAAAAAAAAAAATAAGGCAAAATATTGTCTTACAGGCCATTGGTTTCTCTGTACTCTAAATAATCGGTATCAACACCAGCCATGAAAAAAAAATCTGACATTGCAATTATCATTTGACAAAATAGCCTACTGTGTACTACTTTGAGGGGCAACAGACTAAACCAAAAAAGTACAGTGAACTTGACCAAAATTTAAACTTCATAGCATTTTAAACAAAATACCAAGACTAAAGTCAAATTTAAAGCTGCCCTAATAGTGATATAGTCCCCATAATGTATTGTGAAGCTATGGTAAAATGGTGTCTTTATAACAGGGTGGCACTAATCCTCATACTGTATTGTGTGTTACCAGTGGTTTGAAGTCCTGGGCCTGCCACAGGAGCCAGTCTTCACTCAGAGTGTACAGAGCTTTCTCAGTCACACAGTCCACAGGCCCTTTGGAGATCTGCTGAGACAGAGCACTGACCAGGAGGAACAACTGCTGCCCCACTCCCTCCTGTACAAGAAATGAGAACAGCATCAGAACTGAACCAGAACTTCAATATTACATAGTAGTAGTCACAAGGTGAAACCAAGCATTTAGATCTTTGGAGATGTAGACAGACTAAAAATAAAGGGTTACAAACATGTGTTAATGAAAAAAAACACAACAAGCAAGTATGTTTTTGAGGTAACAACATTCTAACACGGCTAAAAATTCAAAATCAGTTTTTCCGCAATATAGTATCTTTAACAGTTCATTTGAACATTCTAGTCTTTACAGTGAAACTTACTCTGAGGAAGCCATAGAGACAAATGGACATCCAGTTGGTGAGCAGTTTTTCCACTGTGGACTCGGTGCGTCTCAGGAGGAGTTTGGGCTGGGTGTGACTGCTCTGCTGCATCAGGTCCTTCAATAAAACCTCCATCACTTCCGTAAGGTAAGTCAGGTCACTGTGCAGCGCTACAGTGAGCAGGGACGCCAGCACACCTGAGCCAAACAAGAGGAAAATCACATAATGAATCCCCTGAGAACTTTTACTCATCTCCTAGTCTCTAAGAAAAGTTATCTGTGTAATCCCTCAGTCATCCAGGTAGGATCCATAGCAGAAGAAAACTTCAATTCTGTCAACTGCACTATTGTTTCTTTGTTTGATTTAGGTTTCCAACTCCATCCTCAGACCAGTATGCTAAGAGGTGTGAAAGCACACATTATAGGCCTGAACGAGAGACCTAGCTAAGAAACAGAAACTATAAACAAAGTTAAAAAGTAGGCGTGTTTAGTTTCAGTGTAGTTTCAGTGTAATTAGCTCCTCTCTTCAGGCAGATATAAGGTAGTATCCACCAGCATCTGACCAGAACTGAGGAACCAGCTTGGATGAGCTGTAAAACATCATCATTCAAAAAACCCTGTCCAGCTGACAGAATTGAATTTTTTCTTTTGCTTTAAGAAAAGTTGCTAGCCAATCTGAGTTTTAAGTAGCTGGAATTATGGTAATTTTAATGGTTTGGTGTATAATTTAAAATAAAAAATTACATTTCTGACTCTTAGCTAAAATGTGTTATAACTATGCCTGAACAGGAATCTAATCAGTTTAAGAATGTTTGGCTACACTAGACTAGAAAAAAAGGGCTTTCATGTAATTCAACAGGCCAAAGTTACTGGTTGACCTGAATAAGTTAGTAGCCAAATTAGAAATATGCCAGCAATTTGGTATATGCTGTTGTGTTCTTCGGCAAGACATTTAACCACACCTTAACTGTGTTGTGTTAGTGAAATTGTTAGAGGTTAATGGTGCAAAATATGTATAAGATACTTGTAAAACTTGTAAACCATGATAACAATCAGAATAATCATTTAAATTGTTTAATTATTATACATTTATTATTATTTGCCTGTCACATCTGCAAAGGGAAGACCCAAGCTCGATGTATGGAATAGAGAGAGAGAGAGAGAGAGAGAGAGAGAGAGAGAGAGAGAGAGAGAGAGAGAGAGAGAGAGACGAGAGAGAGAGAGAGAGCGAGAGAGAGAGAGAGAGAGAGAGAGAGAGAGACTACCAATTACATGCTATTGATGAAGCTACTACCATGACACTAATGCTATAATGGATTTAAATTAGGTCAGTTTATTAAAAAAATTATATTCTTTTACTTGTCTTTTATGGAGAAGTTTTTCTGTTCCTCCATTGTGTGAACCATAGACGTGAGGAAAAACTGATCCCGAATCAGTTTAGACAGACTCTGACAGCACTCATCAAGTTGGACTATCACCCCGTCCTGAAAATATGGACAAAGCATGCATTTAATGAAACAATATAATAATTAAAGGGCCCATGTTACGCTATTTTGTGATCTTTGTTATAATCTTGTTTCCTCATTACAAACATACCTGAGTTTTGTTTCATTCACACACACAGTTTAACACAGAAATCCTACATATGTATGTCTTTGATGAGGTAACAACATTTTAACATGGCTTAAAGCTCAGTACTCGGTTTAAAATAGGAAAAAAATGCCTAGGTTGACTTGAATGTAGAGATATAACAATAACCGAAATACTGTGATATCGTATTGTCAGATTTCTTACAATAATATTGTGGACCATCACAATATATCGAATTCCAAGTCTCTTTGCTTAAATTAAGAATTATTGTGTAGCAATAGCTAAAAAAAAAAAAAAAGACAGAGGGAACTACACAGACCATGATCCTTTGCTCCATTTCAGTGCAAACTACAAGAAGAAATAACAGTTCTAAGCACTTTGAAGTCGTAGTTCTTTGGATTAAATCTTGTCAAGGCCTTTTAAGAGGAAAAAGTACCATATTACAGTAACAGTTCTGTTAGCCTCCACAAAATATCGCAATAAATATCATATCATGAGATGTATTTCGTGCAAAATATCGTACTGAGAGATTTGGATATTGTTACATCCCTAATGGTGAGCCTCCCTACCTTATTGTGAGCTTCCCCACGATATCTCAATAAATATCGTACCGTGAGGTTCATACCGTGATGATATCGTATCGTGAGACTTGGATATCGTTACACCCCTACTTGAATGACATGAATTCCGAATAACAATTTCAATTAATAAGTAAGTATACCCTAGGATATGTGGACAAAATGTAAATGTAATAATACAATATGAACAATACCATTAAGTAAATAAACCTATTCACTATACGTTTTAAGTGTCTGACCTGATGAATATCGTTAACACAGGACTTCATTAGGGCTTCACTCTAAAAGGAGAAAAGCATATTACTATTTGAATGTACAGCAGTAATCGTGATGTGTGTGATCGAATGTGGGTGATGTCTCTACCTCGGGGAAAAATATCCTGGAGGCAAAATGCTTGTAGTCAAGGAAAGGAATAGTGCTAACATTTTCTAAAAGATCATCATTTTCTGTCTGCAACTCAATGAAACCTAAAGAGAGAGGAAATGGCAAGCTTTAATTATCAAGTGAAAACAAGCAAGGTGAAATCATTATATGTTATAAGATCAATATTATAGATTTTTTATATATTTGTAATACTCATAATGCAACAAAGTTCCACCGATGAAACATTATGAATAGATTATCTTGTCAATATTATATGTTTATTATTTTTATATACAAGATATCTAAACACTTTAAAGGGGCACTATGTCTGCTACTTGCTTGTCTTTATGGAGATGTTATTGCTTTGCTGGGAAAATAACACAAAATGGCATTAAACAAACATTTGGTGTTATCAGGCCAAGTTACAGGTCTGTTCACAGTATATAATTTTTTCAAGGTATTTTAAAAATGAAAACACCTGTAATTGAAATAAACATAATACTATGAAACATCTCCATGGAAACAAGTGACATATTGCTTCTTTAAACCTATAATTACCGATTGATAGCACAGACTACATATATAAATAGTCAGTAAATGTTTTGAACTCTGATCAACTTCAAACATAAAGTGCGCAGGTTTGGATTAGACTGGATTTTGGTTGAAGTATTTAATCTCTCACCTTGTCTGATGTCATTCCTGATGTCCATCTCCAAATTTTCCATCAAACTGTTCATTCGATTGGTCAACTGGTTCTGCTTTTTCTTGTACACAATTACCACAGCTTTAAAATAACAAATACAGTATCAGTACACTCATTTAAAAGTCCAGTGTAATGTTTAAATAGATTCATTTATTCAAATTTTGAGACATCCAGGAATACAATATTACTAGTATAAGCGAGTTAAACAAAAACAACTGGACTGACTAACTTTTTGATGACAATGTTTGGCTATAAACCCAATAGCTTCTTCTGTTGTGTTTTAGTGATGTCACCAAAAAGCTAGTAAATCCAGTTATTTTTGTTTAACTTGCTTATAACATTTAAATAGATAAATAGTAATTTTACCTATAACAATGCAGGGTATTAGCAGTAGCACCAGCAAAATCAGCATCAGATCAAGCTTAGGCTTCAATATGACACTGCTGTCCCCAACTTGTATCTGAAAAAAAAAAGTTACACCATTTTAAATATATTTAGGACCAGTACTAGACTAGCAAGGCATTGCATCAAACAGAAAATTTATTATCGCAAAGTTAGAGCAGTGCAAATAAAATACGCCATGTGTTTTACATGAAAGAACATCATAACCTGGTTTAAAGCTCAAAATGTATAACCAAGCTATACAAGAACGAATACAAATCTAATCCAAGAGTAAAAGTGTTTAAAGGCACAAACGTGGTTCTTATGAGCTTTAAGCCATGTTAGAATGCTGTTTTTTTCATTGACACACGTAAAGTAACAAGTAAAGAACTCAACCAAAATATGCAGGATTTGTGTGTTACACATATGTGAATGTTTCTGATGAGGAAACAACATTATAACATAGATCAGAAAATAGCGTAATATGGGCCCTTTAAAGCTTTCATTTAACTCCCTGTAAGTTTGCATACCACAGTTTGAGAAGCACTGGTATAGATTTTACCATCAAGTACTCAAAGTTGGTGCTGGGTGTGTTCTTGATCTGACAGATGAAGTCAGTATTGTTGCTGAATTTGTTGGTTTTGCTGCTATTCACGAGGCAGGGATACTTCTGTCCATCCACCACAGCCCACACGGACAGCTCCTTCAGCTGTATATCCAGATTATCAGCCTTTTTCTACACAAGAAACATACATATTCTAAATACAAAGTATAAGAAATATTTACAAAACAGCCTTGTGAAATTATTTAATGGGGCACTATAACCAGGAAAGTTCCACAGTATAGTGGTTGTAACGTTGTAGTGTTTAATACATTATTGTTGATTGAAAAATCTGTATTAATTCACCTCTGGCATCAACACATACAGGAACAAATTAAGTGTACGTTTTTATCGGAAAGACTGCATTTGTAGCTTTGACTGTCTCCATTATGGCACTGTATTCAGAGCATTCCTCACCGTTATAATGATGGTGGCGTCACCCCCTATCTTTGTGGAGGTGTAAGTCGTAAACACAGGGTCTGGCAGATATGTAACGGGTCTGGAGCAGCTCAGGGTATGATTGGCCACTTTCAAAAACACAATGCTTGAGAGAGGGTTCTTCGCACCCGGAGAGGTGTATGAGATATTCTGTTTGAAATATAAGGGTTTTGAAAACATGATTTCTAAGACAAATTGGCTTTACTTTTACATACAGACCTGTTTGCTGAACCGAGCAGCGAGAGTCTTCAGCGGAGAGTGACTGTGGACAACTTCATCAAAGAAATCAATATTGGATCCAAACAGAGTGATAGTTCTCCCCCCACTAGGTCAAAATAATAAAAAGAGAAATATTAACTTACTGAAAACAAAAATCTGTTTGGTTAATAGCATGGATGGGTATGTTTAGTCCAACAAACAAACAGTTCATTAGATATTTGTGAAAAGTCCAGATGCCATGTTTGGACATATATACAGCAGGAGGGATAATGGATGCATGGGGTGAGGGGACCAAAAAAACAAAAGGCTATAATGTGTTTTGGAAAGAAAAACTAATTGTAGCCCTAACCCAACCCTAACCCTAGACATAACCCTTTCCTGGGTTTCAGATTTTTCCATCTTTTTTTTTTTTTTCTGGGTTGGGCTCCCATCAAAATTAGAGTTCATCAAGTTCTAATTTTTGACACCGGTCACTGTCCATCCTTGTTTACTGCTTGATTTTTGTCAATTTTCGTGCTCCTGGTCGCGGTTTTAATTAGTCCCTTGCTTAGACTTTGTCCCTGACTCGGGCCTAATAATATTCTAATATGAGAACAATGTTCCGCTTTTTAAAATTATACATTTTAAGAAAGCACTGGCGCATTCCTGTGTCATAGCGAGGCCCCCTGGTCACTACGTACACTTCACTTTGCAACAGTTCACTTCTCGGCCACTAGTGGCATTACTTCACGATACTAATAGGCCTTCACCAGGTTCTGACGCTTGGGCCTAAAAAAACAAGAAACTTTCCATATTGTAAGCAGCAAACATTACTGCAGAAATGGTCAGGCCTTACCTGATAAAACCAAGGTTAAGAAACAACTTCAGTTTCGTAAAAGGGAAGTTGTCTTGTGGTGAAAGTTAAAAAATTTGGGAAGTGAAACGAATAGTCCACACTTACACACCTAGAGCTGTTCCTGTGTGTTTTGAATAAGGTTTAAAGCTAATGACTTCTTTTTTTCGAATTATGACAGAAGATATAACTATTCCACTATTCTCATTTAAAGTGCAAAGGCAGGTTTTTATGTCTTTCTAATTACATGGTAAATATTTATCACAATTTTAAGCCAGTGGCAGCTTGTTGGGGAAAAAAAAGTTCTTGTCTGCTGCGTGCGTCCAACCAGGAAGTAAAATTATAAAATAAATATGTAAATTTTTTTGTAAAATTTTAAATATAATTAAGTTTACTGTGTTTTAGTGAAAAAAGTCCTCAAACCTGTAATATGCATTTAGATTTTTTGGACAGTCAGTTGTAATGCAGCCTATTTACAGAGCGGGGTCTTACCTGAGCCAGCTGCTGCTGGGTTTGATGTCTGTGCAGGATGGTAAGGAGCCATATGTGATTTTGACGTTACCATGGCAACTGTTGTCAGGGAGGACCGCACACACCTGGACCACACCTTTGTTGTCTGAACTCGGGATGCGGAAGGTCAGGCTCTCTCCAGTGTTGTTCCATACCGGGGATCTGAATGAATAAAGATAGAGGTTAGCACTGTCACCTTACAGCATGATAGGAGTGTGTGGGTGTACTAAGGTGTTTATTTTTAATTTTCATTGCATTTTAACATATGATAATACATACCGCTTTGAGTTATCTACATTAAATAAAATTTATTAAAAAAAAAAAAAGTAAATAAATCTGATGGCATATATATATACTATAAGAAATAAAGGCAGAATTTGTAAATAATTGAAATTAATTAAATAAATGAAACTAAATAAATAAATAAATAAAACCTAACCACTCTTAGACTCAAATCATGAACACATCAGACACTCTCTTTAACTCTCTTTAGCTCTCTTTTTAACAATATCCTGATTTTAAAAAGTTGTTATTAATTACTTAATAAATATTTATAACTGATATTATTTCCATATTGTATGTGTTTATATTTTGATGGTATTATATGTACTACCTTAATTTATGCATGCACATTATATATATATTTTTTTTCTATTACTTCTTGTTTTGTGTTGCACCATTTCCCCAAGGCACATTTCTGCTTTTGTCCGCTGACAATGGCAGTAAAGCTTTTCTGACTCTTACTCCAGTGGACTGCAGTCTAGATCAGCATGTACCCGCACGCGGGTCACATGACTGAGGTTGCGGCCTTTTAGCAGAACGTGGTTTTTGCCATAGAAAGACACGACATTTGGAGAGACAGACGAGATCTCTGGCTTCTGTAGAAACAAAGATGGATTCACTTTAAACAGATTAAACATTGGGGGAGAGTTTGAAGAGTTGAAGGCTTACCACATAATTCATATGTGACTCCATCTTTTGGCAAATACTTTTCTGAAAATAATATTTGATTAAAATTATTTATATAAAAATATATATTTTCTTTCTTTTTACCTTTTTTTTTTTTTTTTTTTCTCAGTATACTCACATTCGTTGACTTTTCATTTGCCCAGGAACAACTATCAGAGCTCCAGCCACAACCAGCTGCTATACACTCCCTGCACCTGAAGAGATAATGGCCCTTTCATGACTTTATTATTTATTACATTATACTAACATTTGTTTTCCTGTACATTATATAGAGTGTTACATACAGAGCTGGAGAAGGGAGTCCTCTGATCTCAGAACAATTCCTGAGACTGAAATTTTCTAATCTCTCCTCGTTCCACATCCTCATTTTAACAGTCATATTCACACCTGTAAAGAACAGTAGAAATCAATTTTAGTTTAGGCTACTAGGAGAGTATATGCATTCTTACATGTTAAATAATGTAATGCACTCTACAGCAGCAGCAGCATCAACCACCTCAACCTCCTCCATCTTTTCTTCCTCACCATCAGAAATATACAGACACCCGAGATAGTTTTCCCTGACAAATATAATACACTCTCTTTATATTTTCTTTATACTTTTTGTATTTTAAAGGGACAGTATGTAAGTTATTAGGTGGAAAGTCTGAAATCATCTTTCTTCAACAGAGATGCTATTATGTTTCCTGGAATTTTCCACAAAATGGCATAAAAGTATACAATCTCTTTTTTGCTGCTTTTTCTTTACTAATATATTATATTATATTCCATCCATCCATCCATTTTCGTCCGCTTATCCGGGGCCGGGTCGCGGGGGCAGCAGCCTAAGCAGGGACTCCCAGACTTCCTTCACCCCAGACACGTCCTCCAGCTCCTCCAGGGGAACCCCGAGGCGTAGTCCCTCCAGCGTGTCCTGGGTCTTCCCCGGGGCCTCCTCCCGGCGGAACATGCCCGGAACACCTCCCGAGGGAGGCGCCCAGGAGGCATCCGGAACAGATGCCCGAGCCACCTCAACTGGCTCCTCTCGACGATATTATATTATATTATATTATATTATATTATATATTATATTATATTATATTATATTATATTATATTATATTATATTGTGACATGTGAGCTACTGGGTCAAAATACTTTCCCTTGTGGATCAATAAAGTTTGTCTAAGCTAACATTGTTTGGTCACAGCCCAAAAATGACCTGTGATTAACAGTCCACAGATAATCATTGCTCCTAATTCATCTCTCCTGATCAGTTGTAACTTGGCACACGCCAAAATTATATATGTAGCACTCTTAATTGAGTTCTACACGTTAACAATCTGAGATTAATCTCGCTGAAAGCAATCGGAAAACACAGAACGTCATGATGACTATTTGAATCTGATTGGTCCCAAACTCACAAATATCGTGAGAATCCATCTTGCTGTGCAAGGTTAGGTTAGTTTCTGACAATACTGACCTTGTGCAGGTAGTCGGATGTCATGGAGGACACAGATGCATTGTGGATAGCTAGGAGCAGGGCCAGGTCCACACAATCGAGTAAAATGACAGGCAAAGTTTTTCGGTTTGCTTGGGCCCACACTCATGTGCATTTGCACTCTAATTGTGATCTGAAAGCATAATACTGGTTGGTTGACTATAAAAGCTAACTAAGACAACAAGTGGTTAGAGTGCTTGTCTACTATAAAACATCTGCCTATGTTTTAGATGTAAAATCCAATTCAACCACATGTAACAATTAGCCTAACACTGATCTATGTCTACCCACATAAAACCATATGCACACAAACTATATTTTTTCAACCAAATCAAATAAATAGAGCACAATAAATAAATAAATAAAATAAAAGCTGGATTGTTCTAGTTCTTCCTCATATTCTTCTGCCTCACATGGGTTTTGCTAAGTTCACTCTCTCATAAGAAACACATCTTAATGAAGGCCTAATGGAACAGTGTGTGGCCTAACTTTACCTGACCAGATGCATTTCTTTCTGCTTTGAATGAAACCATCTCTTCTTCTTGAAAATCCTCAGAAATTGAAACCCAGCTTGAGTTTTGACAGTCACTCTCAAATGTGCACCTGTATATAAGAAAAGTATCGCTCAACAAAAAATCTGGTGCTAACAGTTTTCTGCATCTGTTCATGTGAGTGACCAACCTTTTTGTTGAGTGGCACCAAACACATTGTGGATCTTGTGCAGACCAGCAGTCATGCAGTGTTGTGTAAATTGAACAATTTGACACAGCGATCTGCATAATCTATAAAAAAATAAACAAAATGTATCATAGAATAAGGCTTAGAACCAAGAGGTAACTTACTCTTAGTCCGTACCTGGTTTGTAAATGCAGCATAAATGTGCTTGTGGTTTACTTCGTCCACATATAACTTGGGGAAAACCTCACCGTCATCATCGGCTCTATACAGGACTTTTGGACATGCAGGTTGGTAGTTTTTGTCCACAACTAGCTGAAAGTCAAACAACTGAGCAATGAACATCAAAATACACAATATGCTTCTGTATATAATGAGACAACATATATGTTATTTTGTGTCGTAAAGGAAGATAAGACTTAGACCTTAGAGACTAAGTAACAGCAATTAAAAGGCTAACCAAAAACTATTGGAAAGCCACCGACATTAATCGATACATTAGACCTATGGTGGGCTGTAGGGACACTTTACAAATCACTATTTCTGCTCCTTTTTGGTAACTTTCTATGGACCAAAGTGCAGCTCAGCGGACACACCTTGATGAGCTGTCCATTCGCTGTTCCGATGAAGAAGAGCTTCCAGACCCGGTGTGTGAGCGCCAGCACGGAGCTCATGTGGCTCTGCTTCAGCAGGGTCTTCTGTGGACGCACGGTCTCCGGCTCCGGCAGATTATCCTTATTATTATCCTTGACTTTGAAGTGTTTGTCCATATCCGGGGGGGAGGTGTATCTGGGACTGATGTCAAACAACAGCAGTTCAGTGTTGAGACGTGTCCCATCCACACTGAAGACCCCGGTCCACCTGAGTGGTGTGGTCCCGGCGATCACAGAGGAGGCCAGGAGCTTCCCACCAAACCCCGCAGAACTACTGGTGTTAAGAAAAGCGCCCCGCAGGGACTCCAGAATAGCTTCCCTCGAACTGTCTTGAGCGTTGAGCCAAATCAGTCGTACTGCCTTTCCAGTGGAAGAATTCAGGTTAGAAAAAACATAAATGAAGGAATCCACCTGGAAACCGTCCACGAAGCCCACGTAGTCAGTCTTGCTCCTGAGGGCAAAATCTTTTCCAAGGTTGAAAGAAAAGATGTCACCAATCTGACGATTATTGGTGTTGAACAGATTGATGATGCCTTCTTGTATAGAACACTGATTTTTCATGGATCTGGGGCTCTTCTCTGTGGCCGCCAAGATGTATTTGTTGTTTTCTCCACCAGTCACCAGAAAGGCCACAGACTCGGTGTGCGTACTGACGGGACCCAGGGCGGCGCTCTCCGCGTGTATGACAGTGGACACGTCCTGCAGCGATAGAACTTCGCAATGAACGCATTGGTCCACAGCGCCACACATAACCAGGGTGTTGTTGGAGGTGAAGGGCAGGAGCACGTTTACCTTTAGAGTCGTATTCCCAGCGGTTCCATCTGGGACACGGACAAATTTCGGGTCTGAACTCAAAGGCCACCCCCTCAGGGACACGCGCCGCACCAGGCTGAGGTCCGAGCGAAGGTGGTACAGGCTTTTTTCTGTGGAAACATAAACCGCTTCACGAGTCACTGCAAGTTTCCGTGTATCTCCGTCCAAACTGAAAGCCTTCCCCGCTGTTCTGTGAGCCACTGTGGACCACAGAGCGCACAGCGCGCACAACAACAGCATCTTCTCCAGCTCCAGCTCTACATTGCACTGCGCTGTCAGGCAGCGGCGCGCAGTGTAAAGGCGCACGACACGGGTGTGCGAGACGCATGAGAGGCAGGACTAATGTAAGGAGTGAAAGTGAAAACCGCAGTTGTTCAAAAGAGTTTTTCTCCTGTTGGAAAAAGTCTTGAAATTGTGTAGGCTATAGTTAGAGACTTGAGAAGTATTTCATTGTAACATTAGACTCTACTGCTTATTTGAGTCGAAAAATCTCGGTAACAACTTTCTTAAGCTACTATTTAGCTGTTCTTCCCATAGCAGCCTAATGTTTTTAGCATTAGTCTATCTAATGTTCTTACAAACCAAATAAGTGAACAACACTTATAATACGTTTATTTGACCTTACTTTACCTTTCTTAACCTTTTTCCCCCCTTTTGCTCCTCTACACCCCTGAGTTTTAGCGTCAGTATGCGCTGGCCAGTAGCCTGGTGTTAAAGTGACATCTAGTGGAGGTAGGCTAAGTATGAAGGTAAATAATAGCTACTATTAGGCTATTCTATTTTACCCGAACCTCTCAGTACAGACATATTCATGGTTTCAGAAAGATGAAAAAGTAGGACAGTTACCATAGCAATTACGATTTTAAAACTATTGGGCTATTACATTTTTCAAATGGTAAAAAGTCTTCAAAAAGGTGTCTATAATATTAAGAAGCTATCTGTGAATAGGCCTTTTTGCGTTAAGGTATTTTCCACTTGCTTAATATTAAATCCAGTTGAATTTGTCAACTGATGTCATGTATCAAATCAAACCCACCAGGTTCGTTGTATTCTTGTGCTCTATCTTGCTTCCAGTTGCTATTATCAGATGTGCCACAAGAATGCGCTGCGTTGCCGCTCTTGCTCTGTGGAGGCATGCAGCAGCGCGCAGGACCAGTGCCAGTTCAGACTGAGTGCGAGGACTCCCTCTGCTCCACGCCTCCTCGCCGTATATCACCACTGTCCGGAGCTCCAGGACTCATTCATCCTTCTCAGCCTACTTCGAACCGGGCTCTGTGTCCACCTCCATCCTGTCGCTCCATCTCCACGCAGTTGCAGCGCCTCTTTTTGTGAACCAAAGTGAAGGTCAGAACCGTGTTTTTCAGAAGAGGACCCGCCAGTTTTGATTTTGCCACAGGTTCACGCTCGTCATATCAGCCAGTCTTTTACACGGGACTTCACTATTACTGGTAAGTCTACTTCGACAGCTCTTAACGTGAGATGTGCACTCTGGTCTATGTGCTCACATATCATTTGCTTCTACTGCTGTGTACCTGTAGGTCCCACTGGCGCAAAGCCGCAATTTAATATCCTTTACAAAGTACAATTACCCCTATTAACTGTTTGTATGGAAGGTTTTGCATTGAAATCTTGTCTTTTTAATGTAGTCTAACCCTTACATATGAGACAAGTTGCCCTAAAGATTGCATTAGCTAATTCCTCTAAACTCGTGTCCATATTGAAAATGTGATACCCTACTTGGAATAATGTCAGATGAAGTAGAATGCCAAAGGGAGGGCATCTGGTGTACAGTGACAGCAGACTACTTCACAGTGAGATTTTACCACATATAAACATTGGCACCTCTTGATAGTATGACAGTTAGGATGCTGGATGAATAATTTGCCCTGTCACAAGGAGCCACGTTGAACCTTGTATCATATAATAGCTGCTTCAACTATAGGCATACGGCTGTATTTAGGTATAATTAAAAACAGATCGTGATTTGATTTGACGTGGACCTTATAGAGAGTGACACTGAGTATTTTCCTTTTTTCCTGAAGTTAATCAGAGCCACAGCTTAGAGTCCACACCTCCTCACTGTCAGATTCTGTGACGGCTTCAGTTACATAACAGGGCTCACCTCTGTATATTGTAGGTGGGAGGCTACTGCAGCCAGTTTAGCCTATAGTGAGTTATTTATGAGTACTGAAGACACAAGTTACATTTTCTTGTTCTGTTAGTTATTTCTTTTTGTGGATTTGTAATGTAATGTAATAATTTATTTAGTATTTTGCCGAACAACAAAGATATACGCAACAGTTTCAAGAATGACATGACCAAAAGGGTTTAGGCTGAAGTAAAAATCTTTATAATGATGCCTAACCCTATTAAATAACATGACACAGGAATACCAAGTAAAGCAAGCGTATCAGCAGCAAATTTACATTTACAGTTCCACATCACATGGCTTACTATACATACATTAAACATTACAGAAAAACAAAACTGAATGGACGGATCATTCCAGAGCTGTATATCTTTCAAAAAACAATCCTTCATACCTCTTCTTAAAAACTTGTGTGGATCTGACCTTTTTAATCTAACATACAGGTTGGTTCATATGCTAAGTCCTCTAACTGAAATACAGTTGTTTTTTTATGTGTTCTAGTCTTAATTATTTTAATAAACCTGCTCTTCTAAAGTTTTACTGACTCTCTCTTTTTGCTCAAACAGTTCCTCGTATACAAGGAGGGAGCATATGCTTTTATACCTTGTACATCACTATGGCTGTACTCAGGTCAACAAGATTAAAATACTTTTTGCTTACTAAAAAGAGGATTGATTGGTATCTTGCATGGTTAACTATTCTGATAACTGTCTGGAGTAAGACATATTTGATTTGTTATATGTAAAGTGTTCCCCCATTACACACAATAGTTCAAGTATGGAAAGTAAGTAAGTAAGTAAGTAAGTAAGTCTTTATTTATATAGTGCTTTTCACAGACATATGTCACAAAGATGCTTTACAGAGCATTATTCTTTCTCTCCACACCCAGTGATGGTAGGCCACTATTGTAGCCACAGTTGCCCTGGAGCAGACTGACGGAAGTGCGGCCGCCATGCCAATCGGCACCATCAGTCCCGCCTACCACCATCATCACTCACGCACACACCACTTTCATACTAGGCAATGTGGGTGAAGTGTCCTGCCTAAGGACACAACTATTGATGGCTACTCTACAATTAGAATAACTGTGTAGTAAAACTGGCTTTGTTTATGATTTGTTGTGTGGTGCGGAGTTGTGTTTGTTTTGACACCAGACTAAACCACGGAGAGGGATCACAAGACTAAAAAGAGACTATACAGAGATTACTAAATCAAAACAACAATATGACTGCACTTTAGCTCGTAAATCAATAAACCATATTTAACAGTGAATGAATGGGTAGCACTTGGGGGCCTTGGGTTTGACTCCCGGGCAGTGTGGGACCATTCTACCAGGTTCATTAAAGAGCAGATTAACCAGGACAGTTAGACAGAATAATTTGAATATACAACCAGAAATGTTCCTCTAAGATCCTGGATGCTTTTTCATTGTTGGCAAGAACAAGGTTTTGCATTATGCTTTTAAACAGGAATGCGATAAGAGCTCTTTGTGCTTTAAACAAGAGAATGATGATAAAAAGTGTGGGACTCTGTGTTTCTGAGTTTGCCTCAAGTTGCAACATTTTATTTTTGGCTTGGGTGAACCTTATAAATGATGTAGGAGTAATATGTAGGGATGCACTGATCCAGCTGTTTTTGATCTGACACCAATGTTGATACTAAGGCTTTATATCTATCTTATAATAATATTGATTTCCAAATGACGTGGAGGAACCAAATATCCAAATGTGTTTTAACTTATTTATCATATAAAGTTATTACAGTAAAGCTTTGAAAAATTATAAATTCAAGCCAAAGATGTTAAATTTGTCTTCGTATGTACTTTAATTTCTTGGGTTCTTTTTAAAGCCAATACAGTAAAGTGTATTTATCTTGTTGATGTGTTTCGGCTGCTAAATGCAAACTATCCTCAGAACTGTCACCGGTGTTGGTGGTGACGTGTCGTATATCAGCTGTTGTTACTTCCTGTAGATGTGGTCAGCTTGATGGACCTGGCAGATCACTCAGACTGACCACGCCTCCCATCGCCCGGCGTTCTAAGGGAGGAGGGTGTCCCAGGTGTGTGAAAGGAGGAACGCTCCGTCATCATGGTTAATGATGTCTATGCCTCGTTTCCTGCCCACATTATGGATTGGGATGGGGCTCGGGTCATTGGATCGGAAAACAAGTTCAAATGCTGGATCAGGGAGGCCACTGAAATCAGGAAACAAGGCACAGACAGCATTAACCATGATGACGGAGTGTTCCTCCTTTCACACATCTGGGATATCCTCCTCCAAAGAACATCGGGCGACGGGAGGCGTGGTCCAGGTCCATCACATCCTTTCAGGTCCATCAGGCTGACCACACCAACAGGAAGTAACAACAGCTGATATGCGACACGTCACCACCAACACCGGGGACAGTTCTGAAGATGGCTTGCAGCTAGCAACCAAAACATGTCAACAAGGTAAATACACTTTACTGTATTGTCTTTAAAACAAACCCAAGAAGTTAAAATACAAATTCAAAATTACAAGGTGTTTTGGGTCTTATTGCACCAATTTATAGACTAAAATGGAATACTGACTGTACCGTTTATCTTGGGACCAGAATCTGATACCTCAAAATGTTCAATATTGGCGCCGATATCCAAAATCAATATCACATCGGTGCATCTCTATTAATTTGTATAACTAAATAGATATAATAAACAAATGTAGCCAGCAACAAAAATAAGCATTTGGACATTCATCTAAGATTTTTCTTTCTCTTGTTTATTAAGACATTGTTTCAACCGGACAGGTATAATACCAATGTCTGGCACCAGTTCAACTAAACTGTTGAACTGGTGCCAGGCTTGTGGTCTGGCAACCAAATGTAGCCCTCAAAACAATTGTTCTTGGTCCTTGGCCCATATTACCTTCAGTTTTTAACATTTACCTTGATAAAGCCAAATTTATAAAACCTATTGAGGATCTAAGCATGAATAAAGGTCTGGTGTCTCATCCTACTCCGTTATAGATTCACATGTTTGAACACATTTATTCACTGTATCGAGCACTAATCTATGGCCCTCAATCAGCCCTCTGCATCTTGATATTTGGACCTTGATGAAAAAAGTTTGTACACCCTTGGTTTAGTTCGTATTGTTTTTCCTTGGTTCATTCTAGGCTCTATGAGGATCTTGGTGGTACCTGATGTGAAGAGACTGAAAATCACAGGCCTATATTTTGCCTTGTTTGCAGACCATTAATAACATGATAGAATAAGGTTATGTGCTTCTATTTATACTAAGCATTATTCTGGAAATAGTGAGTTTAACATATATAACACCTTTCCTGTACTCACATATCCCCTATATCATCAAAGTTGGAATTTTTCTCTATAATTGAATGCATTGTCATTGTCTGCCTTGATCCATACCCCATCGATCTCAGATTAAAATGTCATTAAAATGCATGGCACACATTGAGTACATGTAGCTGTGATCGTGGTGATGGATAGTTTGTTCCCTGGGCCCTCTCTGTGTGTGGTTGGCTGTCATTAGCATTCAGGAGCGGCTCACTTTGTTACATAATACTCCTGTTTTAGTGGACACGGCTCATCTGTCTCTGAGCTGCCAAGTCCTAGACCAGGGGACTCCCAGTGTCTCCCTCTAATGCAGTCTGGAGCAAAGCATTGTCATTATCATAGCATCATCTTCATTACAATAACGGGATGATATTTAACAATGCATCAGGAATGTGCTAAAATGTGCCTGTGAAGTGTTAGGCTCAAGTCTTGCACAAAACATGAACGGGCCATAAAATTAAACAGAAAAAGTAATATCATTCAGGGCTGTCACAATCATTTCTGGGAGTCATTATTTATCGTTATACTTTTTCTTTTTGCTAGTGCAGAACTTTTTTGTTGTTCTGCACTACGATAAGATTTGAGCTGCAGAGGGTTGAATAAATAACTTCTATGACTCATGGATTTGAACTAACTACATGGCTCATGTCTTATTTTTTATCAACATTGTACTTTTAGAATATTTATTTTTTTGATAATCTGTTCTTGGGGTTATTGTGTCAGTGTCATAATTTAGTGTCAGTATTATTGTTTGTCATGTATACTTTCCTCAGCAATAAGGTAAAGGTACAACACTCCCCTCCCACTCCCTGGGAATTTGTCCTCTGCATTTGACCAGTCCTTCAGTGCCACTGGGTCATCTCCTCAGGAGCAGTGGATGTGCAGTCCCATGCCCAGGGACCCATCTCCGTGATCTTGTTGCTAGGCTTAGACATGGCCACCATAGCTGGAGGATTTTATCTATGG